GGGGAGGGGACTGTGGAAAGAGGAAGAAGGGTTTGGCCTGAGGGTCACGTGCTGGATCCTGAGGCTGAGGAATTTGCTTGCAGCACTGGTATGGGGAGCTCTTGAAGGATTTTTAAACGGGAGTGATGGGGTCAGATCTGGACTTTAGGCCCATCCCTCTGGGGAACAGACTAGAGATGGGGAGAGACCAGCTGGGAGGCTATTGTAAGAGTTAAGGTACAAGATGAAAGTGGCTTAGGCTGGGGAAGTAGCAGTGGGGTGCAAAGGAGGGGAATATTTAGAGGGAAATATTCCAGAGATATTTAGAGGAAGAACTGACGGACTTGGTGACAAAATGGCAGTGCGGAGGGAAGGTCTCCTTAAGGCATCAGTATAAAGACTGGTGCAGTACTTCCCTAAACTAGGCACTTCTCTCCTAGGTGCTTTCTCACCCTGGATACTCCTCCCCAGGTAGTCCTCTAATTCAGCTGCTCCACCTGCGGTTCTCCAGCAGGTACTTCCTTAACCTAGCTGCTCTTCCTCTAGGTACTCCCCGGATTCAGGTGTTGCCCCCACCCCAACTCCTCTGATTCAGGTGATGCTCCTCCTGGTATCCGAGCCTAGATGATCTTCCTCCAGATACTCCCTTAATTCAGGTGCCCCTTCTCCAGATCCTCTCCAGCCTTAGCGACTCTCACCCAGATGATTTCCTGACTCAGGTGACCTGTATTTGGGTACTCCCTGAATACAGCCTCCCTCTGAGGGCACAGGTGAATGGACAGAGATGCGCCTGAAGGGCTGAGGGTAAAGGTGGGTTATGTTTACGCCCACCTTACAGATTGCTGTGAGCATGGTGCCTGGTGTCTGAATCATAAGGTGTGCTCAGCGTAAGTTCCAGCATTGATTTATTTTTTCAGCTGCTTCCAGAACTGGATCCTACAATATTTCCTTACAAATAGTTTCTCAGCTTGTTTCTCTTCTCTGAACAACTGGTTATGGTCAGTTGTCCAGTCTCAGTGTTTGTGCAGCACCCTAACATGGCTGTGAGTGTGGCCTGCAACACGTGCCCTGTGGCCACCCCTGACAGCCACATGTATGTGTATGTTTCAGGATCTGTGCCCCAGGGCTGCCTGGCACCTGGGGATCTGCTTGGAGCCAGGGCTCTTCTGGCCAAGGCTGAGGCTCTCAGGTGTCTTCCAGCTACTCCATGAGTGACACAAACCAAAGTGAGTGGCAGTGAGAGGGAAACTGAAGAGGGGGTGGTTTCCCCTTAGATGCTGGGGTTGGGGGAAGGACCCTGCCCCCACTCCTCTTGGTTTCCCTAGGGAGCCCATCTGGAGCCCCATTCATAATGCTGTCCCTTTCTCTGCAGCCATTGTGGGGCCCTCGGACCTCCCCACGGCATCAGCCACGTCCCCTGGACCAAGCACCATGGCCCGGCCATGGCCTGTGCTTGTAGGGGTTGTACTGGGAGCTGTGGTCCTCTCTCTCCTCATTGCACTTGCTGCCAGATGCCACCTTTGTCGCAAATACCGTATCAGCTACCAGCACCGCCGGCTCTCCAGGACAAGGAAGGGGATCTGTCCGGAGGTGGGTGAAGATGAGGATGATGATGGCTTCATTGAGGACAATTACATTCAGCCTGGGGCCAGCGGGCTGGGGACGGAAGGTAGCAGGCACCAATTCTCCCTCTGAGCCCCGGTCTTTGGATATTCCCTGCCCCCTTATGCCTGACAGCTAAGGATTGTGAATACTATATGGAAGCCATGAACCTCAGGGATGGAGGTGGCTAAGGTTTAAGAGCTGACCAAGGGTTGAGCAATTTTTGCTTTGCTGACACTAGCCACCAAAGTGACAATGACCCTCTCTTGCTCAATAACCCTCAATGGCTCCCTGCTATTCTCAGGATAAAGCCTACCAAGGACCTAACTATGTAAATAAGGCCTCTGTCAGCCTCTTCGTTTCCATCCTTACCTTTCCCTACTATTCTCCCTACTTAACTAGTTATTATTATATACCAGGAGACAACATTTTAGCAGATAAAAATCAGTGTGCCAAGTTTCTTATTGAAATTTTTTCCTATCAATAAAGTGGGTAATCTAAATAGTTATAACATACTCTGTTTTTCACAGGTATTAAAAAATCTATTTTCATTTCAAATAAAAATTAAAAGTTGCTAATATTTATTTTCCTGAACTGGAACTTGTGCATAAAAGTGTTCCTTGTCACATAGCTGGATGCTGCTGCTTGGAATTGCCCAGCTGCCAATGAGTCCCTCCCTCTCATAAAACCCTGTGAGCTTCTCTCCCATTACCCTTGCCACATTTCACCTTAATCTTTATTGCAATTTGCACTTGTCCCTTACTGTGCCTGTCCTTGCAACTTAGACTGTGAACTCCCTGAGGCCACAGGCTATGTCTTATTTGTGTCCCCAGAGTCTTGCACAAGGCAGATGTTAAATAAGTATTTGTAAAATTTGTTGGATTACTGTGGGCTCAGGAGTAAGTAGGTAAAAGTTAAGGGAGTGGTGTCGACTGTGAAAGACTTAAGAACTTGACAGGAGAATAGGCTCACAGCTGCTGGTGCAGATACTAGGTCAAGGGAGTCAGTTAAGCTTGCTTGGTTCTTTGCTTCTTTTGCAAGCAATGGAAAGAATTAAAGGGACAGCTGGCTCAGGAAGATCAGGAAGCAGGTGGTCCCAGTAGCCTGAGGTCAGTCATGGTACCTCTAATGCCCTGTCATTTATGGGTATCAATAAGACTCCATGCCTGGGACTCCTAAACTCCCAATTCTTTTTTTTTTTTTTTTTTTTTAGAGAGAGAGAGAGAGTGAGATAGAGAAACATCAATGTGAGAGTGAGCGAAACATTAATTGGCTGCCTCCTGCACACCCACCAACGGGATTAAATCTGAGCATGCGCCCGGACCAGGAATCTGATCAGCAACCCCTCCTTGCACAAGACAGTGTCCAACCAACTGAACCACACCGGCCAGGGCCTACACTCTCAATTCTAAGTTTCAAGTAACACAGGCGAGAGAATCTGATTGGCCCAGTTTGGGTCCAGTATCCACCACAGGTCCTGCCAGCTGTGACCAGTGGGAGCAGCCTCCTATAGCCCATATGTGATTTGGGGAGCCCACCTGTTTGTTCCAGGTCATTCCCAGACAAGGGATAGTTATGAGTCAGGCAACCACCCCACATTGTGTCCACCTGGATGCCGTGTTAGCCTTTGAGGAAAGAGCCAGCAGAGAAGGAAAGTGAGGGATGACTAATGTAGGGAGGTGCTTGAGAAAAAGGCAGGAGGTCAAGGGGGGCTGGAGCTGGAGCATAGGGCCTGAGGGGTGCCCATGACAGTGCTGAAGCTGAAGAGTGGACCAGGTTAGCTAACACCTTGGTGCCAAGATAGAGAGCTTGCACTTCAGTCTGGGAGCAACCTAGGCTCATCTGTGAACTTCTTGGGCAAGGGAGCAATGTAATCATGACAGAAAAGTCATTCTGGATGCATAGTGATGGGTTGGAGGGCAGAGACCAAGAGAGAGAGGTGACTAAGAGGCAACTAATGTGCAGGGAACAGATTCCAGACATTTGAAGGAGGTGGGGCTGACAGTACTGCTTGGCTGCTGGGTGTGGGGCAGGAAGGATTCCATGGATCTGCCCTGGTTTCGGGGTTGATGGCTGGAGGAACAGGTTTCTGGGAAATGAGCATTCAGTGCCGGATGTGGGATTTCTAGGGAAAGGTGCCCAGGGGCAGCTGGGATTCACAGGGGAGAAGTCCCATCTGTAGATCTGGGCTTGGGAATAGTCATCCCTGATAGGATCACTGAAACTCTGGGAGTGATTTAGGTCATGGGAGTGGAGTTGAGAGGCAATGAGAACTGAATAGGGAAATGCTGACATCTAAGGGTTTGTCAGCAAGTGAGAGGCAGCCAGGGAGGAGGGGAGCCCAGCACACACAGCCCCAACTCCAGCGTTTTCTCCTGAGTCCAGAGATGGTCGGACCTGCCCCAGCCTGAGACCTGGAAAACGATCCTGAGCAGATGAACTAAGGGACCAAGGACATGTTCTGGCCTCTGAGGGAAGAGCTGTTGCAATTGCAGTGGGTCTGTCCCTGACCTAATGCTCCCAAAGGCCCACCTGGAGGGGCTGTCTCACCTGCAGTTCTGGGCCAGAAAGCAGCTTAGCTGGCCCCGTTTTCATGCATTATTTGGGACCTGAGTCAGAATGTGAGGGATCCAGGTATGGGCCTGATCCCAGATGAGCATTTGTTTTTCCTGAACCCTGCACCCAGCCAGGGTCGGCAGTGAGGGCTCCCTCCCAGAACCTGCTGGGGGCAAGCCTGGCTGAGCAGGACCCTGGGGTCATGAGTACCTTGGACCTTGGCCTGAGTGGCCTTGCTGGATTCCTCTGAGGAATCATTGCCATTGTGCTCCACATGCCTGGCCCCGTGCACAAATAGGGCACGTGACCTGGGTCCACAGGCTCAAGAGCCCAGGGATGCTGAAAGTGCTGGGAAGCCTGGGACTCAGCCAGCACTGGCTATGGTCTGCCCTCCCCTGGCTTAGGACCTGGCCCCAGCCTGCCTCTGCTCTGGCCTTGCACCCTGTCCTGTATCCCCCAGCAGCTGCCACTACCCACTCTGTCCTGGGAACCCCAACCCAGACCTGACTGCAGAGGACAACCCAGCTCCCGGCTGCCTTGTCCTGCTGTCCCCAAAGCAGAGCCAGATCCCTTGTCCATATCTGGAGTCCGAAGACAGGGGTCACACAAGCCACAGATATGAAGTTTAAGAAGCCCCAGCAGCATAGCAGGTGAGTTGAGAGCTGAGAGTCCCTGGATTCAAATCCCAGCTCTGCATTTATGGGCCGTGTGATCTTAGGCGAGTTATTTACTCCCTCAGCGCTATATTTTCTACTTAGTAAAATGGGGATCATAAGAGTACTTGCCTCACAGGTTGTTAGACGGATTAAACGAGTTATATAAGTGAAGTGGACCAGAGCCAGCATGTACAACTGTTAGCTGTTTGCCTGTGGGCAATAGCTCCCCACAATGGTTCCTCCCACAACCAGTCTTAATCCTAAGGCCCTTGACCTTGGCAGCTGAAAGCAATATTCTCTTGCTGGACCTTTGTAGGTCTACATTTAACACCTCTTAGGAGACACCTCTGGTCCAGACCTCGCTGTCTGCTGAGGGGCTGCATGTAATCTGCACCTTGTGAAGCAGGAAGTGATGAAATGCTCTTGAGCACAGAGCACTCTCCCCGTGGAACTTTGCCCTGGGCACCCAGGAAGTGCTCCTGCGCCATAGAAGGGGAGATCCCTTCCAGGGTGCACCTCAGGAAGTGACTCTTACCACCCAAGGGGTTTTGAATAGCCCTCTCATGCCCAGGAACCCAGAGGCAGGCCAGCCAGTGCAGCAACTACAGGGACCAGGATGTTCTGGTTTCAGAGGTGGGGTGGGGAGCTGCGGCCTTTCGAGCAACCAGCAGATAAAAACCCCAATACTTGAGGCTTCATCTTTTTCTTTTTCTTTTTTTAAAAAATATATCTTTATTGATTTGAGAGAGAGAGTTGAAACATCAATGATGAGAGAGTTGTCATTGATTGGCTGCCTTCTGTACGCCCTCGACTGGGGATCGAGCCACAACCAGGGCATGTGCCCTGACTGGGAATTGAACCGCGATCTCCTGAATCCTAGGTCGGTGCTCAACTGCTGAGCCACGCCTTGCTGGGCAAGGCTTCATCTTGAACCAGCACGTGAACAAATGCCAAGGACTCAGCTCACTTCCCTCCCTGGGACCAGAAACCCACCACCTTCCTGAAGCTGAGCTCCCCCAACCGCCATCTCCCCTTTGGCTTCATAGTACCTGAGAGGAGAAACCACAGGCCTTACTGAAGACACCTTCAAGGTGCTTTTGTCACGGAGAAAGGCATGGAGTGTTCACTCTGGACGGGGCGGGTGTGGGGAAAAGGAAGGAAGGGTCTCTAGGTGGGATGCGGATGTAAAGACAGTAACAATAATAGCAGCCACCACTTTTATTGCACATCTGTACCGTACCAGTTCCATACATGTCACTTGATCCTCATGACCATGACCATGACTCAGAAACTGAGGCTCAGAGAGGTTGAGTCACTTGCCCAAGTTTCCCAGCTGGGAAGTGGCAGAGGGGGGATTTCAATCAAGGCTTGTCACATTCTAGAGCCTGTGTTCTCTCTACTTTGTCACCAGTGACTCTCCTCAGTGAAGACTTGGTGCAGTCTCTGGGGTGGGAAATAGTCACTCCTGGGGAAGCCCCTGATGAGTGTTGGAGGGCAGGGTTGCCTTGGAGGGGTGTTGGAAATAGGAGCCAAGAATCTCCAGGAATCCCAGACACTTCTATGCCTGGAGACCCAGATACAGACAGGCAGCCTCTGACAGTTCCATGGACACAGCACCCAGTTCCAAGAAGACACTCCCCTTCCCACGGTGTGGCTGTGTGGGGACACTTAGTGTCTCATCACGCATCACATAATCCCCCAGAAGGGCTGGACGGTCCTGGGACACGTGCACATGCAGTGGCACACACGCTCACTCCCGCGTGCCCCGGCAGCGCTGTGGAGGCCGAGGCAGGCTGTGGCAAGGGCTCCGGCGTGGTCAGATGAGGCTGGCGATGCTGGACGTGGTCTCGTGACGCTGGCCAGCAGACAGCCGTCCTGAGATGCTGAAGATGCTGCCACTGCCGCCGTGATCCCTGTGGCTGGAGGGGGTGGCTGCGCGGACGGGAGGGCAGTGTCCGCTCACACCCACCTGATACAGCAGCAGGCCCAGGAGCAAGAGTGAGCCAGAGGCAGCTAGGGCAACGCCCACGGACAGCATGGCGGCCAGTGGCCGGGCAGGGGCAGGGGCGGTGGCCAGGCCAGCCAGTGCCAGGCCGGTGACCAGCAGCACCAGGCCGCTGAGCAGCACCACAAGGGCATCGGCACCGCCACCGCTGCGCAGCAGGGCCACATGTTGGGGCTGGCGTATGCAGTTCATGTCCTGCACGGCTGAGCTCATCAGCTGCTTAACCAGCACCAGCAGGGCCAGGAGGCAGAGCACAGTGCCCGCGGCCAGCCGCCACTCGCCCGAGCGACTGCTGGTGGAGGCGAGCAGTGCCACGCCCCCGGCCCCACAGCCAGCCACAAGGCCCACCGCCATGGCAAAGCAGAGCGCCGAGCGCCGCGGCTGCTGGGACCACCATAACTCCACCTGCTCTGCCAGCACATCTGGGGGCAGCCCCCGACCCAGGGCTTGAGCCTCTGCCTCAGACATGGCCGGTCTGGTGGAAGTGAGGGCAGAGGGCAGCACCAGCGGTTAGAGGGTGTGGATCATGGCCCGGAGCCCCTACCACCTGCTTGGCAGCTGGAAGCCCAGAGTCCTAGTCCTCTCACAGTCCAGGGTGAAGTCACCATCACCTGAGGGGGAGAATCACAGTTGTTACCTCCCCAGCCCACCTGCCCCCATGGTCTCTCCTGGGGGCTGTGGTGACGATCCCTGGGAATCCTCCTGTGTCCCCTGGAACACGCCCCAGGAAAGCCCCCTCCCTAGCGCTGCCACTTGGGAATGCCAACCCAATGACCCCAGAGAGTTTCCCCATATAAAGTACCCCCACCCCTCCAGGGAACCCCCCTTGCCCAGCCTCTGACCTTTCTGGCTCTCTCAGTTGCCTGTCCCATCCCGGCTGGCCGAGGGAGCTGGTGCCATGGTGGACGATGACGAAAGGCCGGAGATAAAGCCTCATTCAGGATCCAACTCACATGGCTTCAGCTGTCACCGCTAGCTCCTGGGGGGAGGGTGGTGCGGAGGGAGGGGGCGATGACTTAACCCTCTGCAACCAGCAGCCAGACCCTGAATCTTCTCTCTTAGGGCTGTGGCTCCTTCTCTGCAGGTTAGGACCTAATCCCTAACACCCTCCTTCCCCTAACACCTCATCCAATCTCACATCCATGGCTGCTGGTTCCTAAGTCACCTCAGGCCCCCCAAACCCTGATCTCCTCCCGAGCTCCAGGCCCATAAGTCAACTGTCACGTTAATGCCCTATAGTCACCTCTGATGCAACAGGTCCAACCCAAGCTCGTCATCTCACCCAAACCTGCTCCTCCTCTTGTGTTCCTCACTTGTGCACATCCCGGCGAGGCCATCTCTAAACATTTCTCCATCCCATTCCCTGCCCTCGTTACCACTGCTTCTCGACTCTTCACCCTCCTGACCCCACCTCCTCACAGGTCCTCCTGTCCCCCAGCTCTCCTCCCTCTCACCACCCCCATGCTGTCCTCCTCCAAGATTTTTCTAAAGTTGTGCAAAGGGAAAGGAGGGCTCTGGATTTGAACCCCAGCTGCAGTCCTTACCACCCATGGGAGCTTGGGTGAGGGATCTCAGAGTGGTTACTCATTTAATGTGTCCTGGAGAAGCCAGTCAGCAGAACTGGGCAAAATAAAGCAGCCAGGGTCCCTGCCCTCAAGGAGCCCCAGTTACAGCAGGTACATTCGTGGTTCATGTGATGAATGCTGGTGTGGTTTAGTCAGAAGAGGGGTTTGGGGGAGAATCCTCTCTTGGAGCCCAGGCTCCTTATCTTAAAATGGAGGGCAAAAACATCCATCTGGGGGGGGGGGGCATTTGATATCTCCATTTCAGAATTTCAGTGGGGATTCTGGGGCCTGCATGGATGCCCAAAGCATGCTTTTTGAATGAAAGACAATGTTCATTCTCCCCTCCAATTCAGGACAGGACTCCTGCTGTGTACGTAGGACGCAGGTCCTGGATCATTCCAGGAATGTGACTATGAGGCTGTACGTGGGTCACACCCCTGATGAGGGATCTGTCCTCCACATCCCCTCTGCTGGGGCTGCCTGGCAACCGGGTAGGAGGGGCAGGTGCAAACGCCCCTAAGGGAGGTGGAGAAGGGGCCGTGGGAGGGGCCCTGGAGTCAGTCCCACTTTTCCAGGCGGTGACTTCACCGGCCTGAAAGTGCTTGCACAGGTGTGCTGGGACCATGGGTCCAGGCTAGGGGTGAGGCGAGGTTCCAGGTGGTGAGCCAGTGGGAGAAGGTGGGGCTGCTGGGGGTAGGGGGGTGAAGGGGCACTCACCAGGAGCCTGGAGGTGCTGGATCCAATCCGAGCCGGGCACCTGGAGCGCTCCAGCTCCGTTTCCGGGGAGGTGCTTCACCTGCCGAACCCGCACCCCGCGAGCCCTGTGGGGCGGGAGAGCAACGACAGGTGTTTCCTAGTCAGCGCCCAGCCCATTGGCCGACGTGGCGCTCCTGCCGGCAGAGGCATTCCTGGGGGAGGGGCTTCTCTCAGCTGCTCCCAGGGCTCCCGCAGGATTCCCAGACCTGGGCAGCGGAATTGCCGTCTTTCCGCCCCAGCGCCTGGGCCCTAAGCCATTCCCCCAGCCCCAACCCCATCTTAGCTTTAGCCCCAGCTGCAGTGTCAAACCCTAACTAGAACTCCCAGCTCCAACCCCAGATCTTACCCCCCATCTTAGCCCCAACCCCCGAAGCTCTCGAATCCCAATCTCAACCCCCAGTCTCATTTCCAAACTCGATTCCTGTCCCAGCTCCAAATCCCAACCCCATATCTGGCTTGAAACCTCAGCTCCACTTCCTGGGATTCGGTCCTGGACCTCACCCATCCTCACTGCCAACCTTGCCTCCTGTTCTTGAATGCAGCCCCCCAAATCCTAAATCCAGACTCAGACTGTGCCTCAGCCCCAAACTCCACAGCTGGTCTCCAAGCCCCACTCCCTCCATCCTGTGGCACTTTCCCCTGGGCCGAGGCCCCCACAGGCCCTTGCTCACTCTCCTGCGAAACCTCCGAAACCTCCCGGGCCTGACTGGCAGGGCGTGGGGAGGCAGGATTTGAGCACATAGGGAGGAGGGGTAAAGGCACTTCCTGTGGGAAACAGGAGTCCTTTGCTTAAAATACTTGCAGAATAAACTTCCAGATAAATGCCACCCTCCTTCACAGGGCTCACAGGCCCCTGCCATACACACCAGGCCAGCTAATTGCCACTGGTCCCTGCCCTCCAGCCAGAACTCATGCCCTTCAGTTCAGCATGCTCCGCACCCCTGATCTGCCCTTTCTGTTGGTTCTTGAACCCAGAGTTCCCTCTGTCTGGGATATTTACCACCCCAGCCTCACTCTGGCCAACATGAATTCTTTAACTGAGATGTTACCTCCTCCAGGAAGCCCTTCCTGACCTCAAGGCTGCTTTAAGTGCCTCTGTTGTGCACCCATGGTCCCTGTCCTTCCTCCACAACAGCTCATGTGCTATAATTTTCCTTATTTAGTTACCTATCACTCCCCACTAGACATGTGGTCGGTCCTCAGAGGGTACAGGTTTATGCCCATTTTGCTAACAAGCTCAGCAGCCAGCACTGTGCCTGGTACATGGGAAGTAATCAATAAATGTTTGTTGAGTGAACAGAAGTGTGAACTGACAGGTATGTGGGTTTTGAACAGGGAGCATGTGAGATGAAGCTTGAAAAACAAGTGTGGCTCAGGCTGCACTGGGCCTTGAATGCCGTGGTGAGGCACTGGGTCTCATTTGAGGCACCCGTGGAGGGTCCTGAAATATAACTGGGACATGGCCAAGGCTCTGCTTCTAACAGGTGGACGGGACACCACACACCACACGTGGTCTGGATGGGCTAATGGTGTTGCTGGTTGCAGATGGCTGTAGGCCGTCACCCATCTCCTGGATTGGGCCGTTATAATGAATGCCTCTTGCTCTCTCTCCTCCTGATGTGTCTGAAAGAGACAAGAAAAGCAAAATTAGTTATCTTCCCACTAGCAGCCCACAAAGAAAGTATGCTTGACCTGTCCATGCTTCTCTTTGCTCTGTACTGTGGAGACAATTGGGGGCCAGTCCTGACTCTAGAGCAGTGCTGTCCAGTAGGAATAGAACATGAGCCACATATGTAATTTAAAATTTCCAGTAGCCATGTTAAAAAGGTGAAAAGAAAGAGATATAACTACATTAAAATTTTTATTTAACCCCTAAATATTTTCATTTTAATATACAAATGATTAAATGAGCTATATTTCAGTCTTTCATTTTGTATGAATTTTTGCAAATGAGTTGTGTATCTTGTACTTGGAGTGCATTTCAGTTCACACTAGCCATGTTTCAAATGCTCAATTGCCACATGTGGCTCGCAGCTCCCTTACTAGACAATGCATCTCTGGGTGGTTCTTTCCCTCAAGAAAAAGTCAGGGTAGGATGACTGCTATGGGGCAGGCTGGGTCTCAGGGGGAAAACCATGTGGGGTTGCCACTTTGCAAAGCACTATAAAGGTGTCCTTCCCTGGGAGGAGCAGGAGAGCAGGGGTCCTGGCAGACTCGCTGGCTGTGTATTCCTCTTGCACATGTCTGACATTTATTTATCTGCAAGGTCCCAAGGAGGGGCCAGTCCCAGGCAGACCCATGGTCCAGCTGTCCCAGATAGAGTTGAGGCAGGGAACTCATGAGGTTTCCCCTCCCTTTCCCCACTCCTAGTCCTGACATGCCTCCTTTCTCACCTCTCACTCCAAATCCAGAGCAATGAGCTCAAGGGGGGTCTTACCTGGACACGTGGATATTCCGAGGCCCACCAGGGTCCCTCAGGTACTTACTACTTGGGAGCAGCTGGTTGGTAATGACCAGTCACGCTTTATATGGGGAAAGGTAGATGCTGATGCCAGAACCTCCTACAGGGCAGGGTCTTTGGTGCTGGGAGAACAGGGTGGCAGAAGAGGCTCAGCTAGGAGCTCACATCGTCTGGCCAGAGCCGATGCTGACTCTAGAAGAAGGGCACGGGAGCCAATGGATGTCTGGGCCCAGAGAGAGGGCAGCCTCCAGAGGCACCAGTGGTCACACCAGAACTGAATGAGCCTGAGAGCTCAATGATGGCCTGTAACCAGAAGAGTAAGAGTGGAGCCCATATGCCAGCGCCTGGCCACTTGAGCGACCAGCAAGTTTCCTGAGGCTGCTGCAGGAGGAGGTGACTGCCAGGCCCACTTCATCAGTGAGGAGTCAACTGGCTAAAGGGACCCTGTGAAGGAGCAGGTGGCACTGTGAGGTGAAAACCTCCCATGGGGTCAGCATAGGCAAAGTGGAAGGAGGTCTCAGGGGCAGCAGCTACCCCATCAACGCCAACGACAGGTCTGTGCAGTAATACGCAAGACAGGACATGGAGAGGTAAACAAGACTGTTCCTCTGGCCCCGGATTTGCTAGCAAGGAGCTTTGCTCACCCTGTGCAGCTGAGAAAACACCCTGCCGACCTGCTGGCCACA